AAGAGAAGAAAAGTCACTGAATAGAGCAATGGGTAAGCTCCGGCTTAAAATGTTGAAAGGTCTGTGGAGAAGCCTCCAGTTTCTATGAAAATTAAATAACATAAATAAACAACAAAAAAAATCTTTTCCTTTCTCTTTGGAATGGCCTCGGATTTGCTCAACAGGTTCGGGGGTATAAATATGGCTCCGGCCCTTTTTTTCCTACTGTTACCCAGAAAAAATAGAGATCACATCAGATTCGCCCTATAATCACCCCTGCAATTTGCAGCTAAGAGTAAAAAGTAATGCCTGATGGGACAAGTTAAGTGGATCAAAGGGAGGACAGCAAAGATTGTTGTTTTCTTATTTTTCCGGGGGTAACAAAAGATGAAAAGATTTATAAGACTGTGAAAAGTGAAGCTGTAAGAAGGAAAGAACGATTATAAAATATGTAGAAAAAGGAAATAGAAAACATCATTTATAACAGCAAATAGTGTTATCTATTCTTGCCCTTCTATTTTTCCTTTATCCTTTCCTCGCGAGAGTCACCTAAGCTCTGAAAATTTAGGACTAGATATAAGCTGAAAATAAAAGGTAAATGTCAAGTATCCTAAGTGAATTGCTTTTTCTCCCTGATCAGGTTTTTTGTTGTTGTTGTTATTTGTTTGTTTGCTTTTTAAAGTACAGAGTGATTTGCAAAAACGATTGTGATTAAATTCAATAGATTTTTAAAAGAACTTGAAAGGAAAAAATTATAGAGAAATGAAACTACAGAGATAATCTTTGTGTAGGGATGCATAAAGTAGAGAAAAAGATTTTCCTATCGGCCCTTCTGATTTGCTCCCAGGCGGATAATCCTGGGGGCACTGGCAGGCTATGGAGCAAATGGACAGATGCTTCCAGAAAAGATTATCTTTTATCTGTCACTCAGCGAAAGCTCTGGTCCTATGACTGTTGATTTTATGATCTAAGCCTTGTATGCCTTTGCTATATGTGTCAAGCAGGAAAAAAAAAAAACTACAGTAATAATAAGAGTAATAATAACAACTACAACTAACATTTATTGAGCACTGATTAGGTATGAAATGCTTTCCATGCAAAAATCTCATTTAATCCTCATCGGAACCTTACCGTTGCTGTTATCTGCATTTTACAGATGAGGAAATTGAGAAAATGAAAAGGACCAGCCTGTATTTTCATGGATTTTTCTATATTTTAGCCTTAGTAGTAGCAATCTGCTGCTTTTTTGCTTAAGTAGAACTTCACACACTTGGCCCTATCTTCCCACAATCTACCACAAAGTCTTTACAAGTTCAAGTCCTAATTTGGGCCTTTCACTTCCAGGGTGGTCTCCCGGTAGTGACTTCCACTGGCTGTGCACCCTGGGAGTGTTAAATTAGAGCACCCAGCTCTCTCTGAATATAAAATTTGCATCAGTACCCGATCAATACTACAGTTAATAAATGTCCTTTGTCCTAAATGAAAAAGCTTAGGCCTTCTTCATGGCGAGGAGGAATTATGAGGTCCCTAAGGGCAGGGAAGAAAGAGGCTCTGAAAGACTGGGAACTAAGAAGAAACCTTGTCACACTCCCATGTCCATTTTGGGCCTTAAAGACTCCCAATTTCTTCTTTGCTGAAGACCTCAGCAGAATTGCCTGCCATAAAGCCCCCTGCTGTGCTGCGTAGAAACTGTCTACCAACCCATCAAGGCCAACCCAACTGGGCCAGTCTACCAACCTAACAATCCAACAAATGGACTGTTCCTTTCCTCCTCAAGGAATCCCTGTCCCGTCTAGCTGTGCTTTTCCCTGGTGGTCAAAAGCACCGAAGGAAACCCATCTTTGCTACGAGCCTTGACATTGAGACTTTACACTGTGCAGCTCCAACACAAACCTCTCTTCCCTCTGCTGAATCACCAGACTTTGCCAAGAACACTTAGCCTAAAAGACAGATTATCTCTTGGAAATTCTGAAGGACCTGGCTAGGCTGGGTCATTAAAACTTCTCATTTGCTTTTGTCCCTCAGCTCACGCCTGCCTTGCCCTTCAGTTACTCGTTTTCTGTTGAACATTTATTCTAGTCATTTGCTATGTATTAACTAAGTTCCAAATATTTGTTCTCCAAAAAAGGAGTACCAAAACTTATGATAAAAATGTAACAGAATGCTACTAGGGGGGGAAAAAAAAATAAAGAGCAGATAAAAATCAAGATTTGACAATGTAACCTAAGCTTCAAACTTAAATACTGTAAATTGTAGGTGTTAGAGACTAACTAGATGAAAAATTTTAATTTGGGGTCCATGAGCCTAGGGTGGTCATGAACTCCCGGAAGTTGTTTATAAAATATTTGTGGGGTGTTTTCCCTTTTTTGTTTTGTTTTTCTGGGAATAAGTTCCAGAGCTTCATCAGGTTATCAAAGAGAGAATAATTTTATTTATATCTCCAGTGCTTAGAATAAGGCCTGATACACAGTAGGGACTCAATAAACATTTGTTGAAAAAACAATCAACATTTGTTGAATAAATGAATGGTCGAAGGGGTCTAAGCAATAAAGTACCTAATATTACAGATGGAGAAACTGAGGCCTAGAAAGGCTATAACCGCAAGGTCATGAGCCTAAGTAGTCAGGACCAGATAGAATTAGCTCTTTTAACTCTTTCCACTGCTAGTTAGTTTCGTTTTGCTTTTTAACCTAATTCCATCTTTCATTCCATTTCATTTTTCTTCCTCCAAATCCATTACTTTTAAAGCAGAGAAATGCACTTTATTTCCTAGCTAGAAGCTGCCAGCTAGTGCATGTCCCAAAAGGAAGGGAGGGGAGCAAAGAGGAGGGACAGTCTAGGAAAAAGGCCACCAGAATGATTTATTTGTGATAGCACACACTGCATGGCTACCGTTCCTATGTGCTGAAGACACGATTAATATGGCATAGAAATGGCTGTTATTGATGGAAATATATAAAGCTGAAATAGTGAAGTTAGATCTAAGTGGTGATGGTAAATCTTAAACTTAAAATTGACCAGGCCAAGCAGCTGTCCTATGAGCAGGTGACCTGCAGCATTCTAAAAGATATCTGAGAGACAGGAATCAGATTCCCTGCCTGGTTTGAAGGCTCCTTTTGAAGGGCCTTCCTTGCTGGTAAAGTAATTAGGAGAACCTGGGAGAATTCAGGGCAGGCCTTACTACCCACTGAAAGAGTTCACAATCAAGCACAGCAGGCAAGAAGGATGAGACTCAAACTACCACCCAGAGGAGAGAAATAGGGAGAGGGGCTTAGTCCTCAGGGCACTGCTTCATCCCAGGAGAGATTTTTGAAAAAGACCAATTCTCTGATTCTGTGACATAGCAAATTTCTTGTGCTGGTGACTCCCTCAGCATACTGAGGCCAACAAGGAGGTGTTGAGGTCTGGGCCGAGTCATCAGCCGAGGACGAGAGCTGTTCTAAACATAGAGATACTCCCAGAATGCTAACTGACAGCAGAAAAAATTTTCGGTAAACTCTTCTTTGAACTCTGGCATCCCAAATGCAACATGTTTCCAAAGGAAATCTGTTACAATGCCCTAGATTGTGTTTATCGATTATCCATATTATTTGGTAGTGGTAGAAAAGATTTAGTGAAACAGAAAGAACCCAGAGCAGACAATAAACAACCTGGATTCAAGTTCCAACTGTGTGACCTTGGTAAAATCACGTAACCTCTCTGAACCTCTGTTTCTTGTTTTATAAAACAAAGGTATTGGTCTATATATTCTCTATAGCTCTTCCCAGCTTTTGCATGTTACATATGATATCTAAGTTTGAGGTTTAACCCATCAACAGATTTTTCAAACATAATCAGAAGAGGTTACCCTTCAGCCAAAAAACAAATAAAAAATCACCCAACCCTCATATCATTTTCCTAGATTTCTCTACAATGCAATTGAAGTATCAGTTACAGGGGAGATGGGAGAAATGTTAATCTCATGGAATGAACGACAACCCTATTGCTAGTCTAAGAGAGATGCTGCAAACTTCAGATCCTTATATTTAAAAGGGGAATTTTAAAAAAGATAGTTCAGCCAATGATTTGAAGACCTAGCCTTCACTTTATGTGATGGGATTATAGAGGATTTCCTGTCAATTTATTTATTATTTGAGTTCCACTCTCAAAATGTAAACATTTCACAAAACCCATGTAGCAGTCATTTAATTAACAGAGCAAATAGGTCTGTGTTGTAATGATCTGAAATCTTCCATGTAATGCGCTTCTGTTCTGCCATGAGCCTCAAGTTTCCCTCTAAGATTCCTAGCAGCTTCCCACATTTTACTCACTTAACATCCAAAGATTAGCCAGGTTGCTCAGTTTCTCCTTTCCTCACAAAACCTACAGCCTTCCGGTTTAAAAATTCTCTGCCAAGCTCTGCACTGAATTCCCCAATAAGAATCACAGTATGACACTGAAGCTCAGAAAGGCAGCTAAACAAAAGCTCTGTAGCAGCAAATAATTTTGCTGGTTAATAGAAAAAGTAAATGTATTTAGAGATTAATGCCTACCCTTCAAAGAAAAAATCCATAACCTAAAACTTCTCGTATATGTCCTACGCTGAACTCCAGTTAAGGAGACATAACACAATGCTTCAGTTTCCTCCAAGAAACTGAGCTCAGCAAATGACCCTTCAACTCTGCACCTCTCCTGGGCCCCTGAGAAGCCTGAAATAGCCCAGGAAGTAGAGGTGGAGAGGGAACTGTGAGCCTCACTGAGTAAGGCCCGTGCCTCTCAGTAAGTAGTAAGGGCTAGGTAACCGCCACACACCAAGAGTCAAGTCCTTCTAGGGAATAAGACAAGAAGGGGGCTTGCCTCACGGGGTACTGTGTCCTTCCCGCTGACCTCTATGGTGGGTGCCTTTCTTTGCCAAAAGCTAAGCCATTGAGTACAGTCCCTCCCTGACTTCCCTGTGTCCCTTCACTGAGTGGGGAGTGTATCTAGAGGCCATGTGGGCCTGCCTAGGCCAAGAGGCAGTGGGCTGAGGCATCTGTACTCACCTGGGACTCCAGAGCTCATTTGTCCAGACCCTTCCACTCCTGTGGTCTCTGAGAACCCCTTTTCCAGTGGCTACCCCTCATGCAGATCTCCATGTGTCAGGACGGGTTGGACCACCTGGAAGGGCAAATAGATGGGTAAGTTTACTCTGCTGGCTCAGGAAGAGGATGGGAGAGATTGGGGGCTGGGACATTTCACAGGAAATCAAGTAGTGGGGAAGCTGGAGGGAAGGAAGAGGGCAGAAGGGTATGTCTGGGCCAAGAGCTGCAAGGTAGGGGTGCTGATGCAAGAGGAGAGCTTTTCAGAGGTGCCCACAAAGTCCCCCAGTTTGAGAAGTCTCTGGGATAGAAAAAAGGGTCCTGGTCTGGGATTGCAGTAAATGTGCCCAAAACCTCTGACTCGATCCCTTCCTTTGCCTTGAGCCTAAGGCAGTTCAGGCAGAGGGACTCGAAGCAACCACAGGTCTTGGAAAGAGGATAGAGGGGGCAAAAAAGCCGATAAAGGGAGGAAACCTGGCTCTAGCTATGGGCAGGGAAGGAGAGGCAGCGGGGGAGCAGTGCAGATGCAGAGCAGTCAAAAGTGAGCCGGAGGGTGAGAGCATGCAGAACTCCCTGGCCTGGCCCAACCACTAGAGGGCAGGAGGTGGGGAGGGGGTTCCGTGGTACCTTCACCCCTTCCTTAGCTCCAGAGGCAACCCCTGGTCTTGATTTTCTAACACAAGCAAAAGCTAAGCTAGTTAACTGGGCGGGAGGGACCAAATTCCCCCAGCAGCTTCCTGAAAACTTCTTCCTCCCCAGGGAGAAGGAGATTGGGGTGAGGAAGGGTCTCGAGCTGTTCCTCCCTTCCCTACAGGGGCTGAAAGGGTGGGCATCAGATGCGAGTGTCTGGAAGTTTCCATCAGGTCCCTGTCTTACTAGGTGATGCGGCTATTTTCAAGAGGGGTGTGCATTAACAGTTTGAGGGTTCAGAAAGATTTCCCCCTATCCTTGCCCTCCTTCCTCAGCAAAGGCAAAGTGGGGAGAAAGGGGGAGATCAACTCCCACTGGTCTTAGGCTGGCTTAACCGTCCTAAAGGGAGGGAAAGACGCACAAAAAGCCACAGGTTTTCACTTATTGTGAAGGAGAAGGGGAGGGGGTCCTTTATTCCATCCCATCCGGAATGAGACACCCCTCTGGGCAAGCCCCCCAACCCAGATTAAAAGTGGGCAGCCTTAGCCCCGGCGTGCAGCCGCCCCAGCAGCTGAGCTGCAGCAGCAGTAGCTTCTTCGAGGAAGCAACAGTTGTCTGGCTGAGCAGAGGCGAGGACTCGCTCAGGCGTGCACGACGCCGGCTTCGGCCCGGTGCTCCTGGGCTCTGGAGCCCTAGCCCCAAACCTAGCCTCTGTAGGAGAAGGGAGGGGACTAGGGACACAGTAACCCCCAGCTGCCTGCGCTCCAGTTGCTCAACACCTTCTGTGCAAGTTCACTTCTCTTAAGTCACCTCTCTCCCAAATCTGGTGGAGGATCAGGCTTCTAGAGAGAGGAGGACTTTTTTTTTTTTTTTTTTCCTGGCTGGGGAAAGGAGGGGAGTGTAAGAAGCAAAAGACAAAAGAGAAGCTGAGGGACACAAGGTGAAGCTATTTTTAATCTAACGTGGCTCTTCCGCCTCTCCCTCGCCGAAGCTATCGCTCCACAGACGGCCCCAGGTGAGAGGCGGGAAGGAAACCCCCCCCAGAGCTTTTTCTTCTGCTCCATCTCCTTTGCAAGTCTTCGAGACCCTTTTACTCTTTCAAAATACGCAATCAGAGAGGGGAAGTCTCCTTTATCAGGGGAGAGGGGCTCTGATTTAGCCCTAGAGCTTGAAGTCCTCGCCTTGGGCGCCTTTCCGCAAGCTGAGCTAGAAAGATTGACTCTGTCCAGCACACTCAGCCTCCGTGGCCCTTTTCTTACTCCGAAGGAGGTAGAGTCTGGGTGCTCAGCTAATCGAGAGGGGAATGATGGTGGGCGTTTAGTTTGCTGGCAGAGGTGGTTGGGGTGCGGGGAGAACTCAGGCCCTCCCCTAAAATGTGTAGCTTCGCAGCCCTCGGGGCTTGGACTCTCAGATTCTGAGATGCATCCTCTATCCGTGTCCATTCCCGAGTACACCCGTGTGTGTCTGGGTGTCCATCTGGACCCGTCCCTAAGGGCGTCTAGCAATGTTTCTAGCTGGCAAAGGGCACGGGGCGCAGAGCATGGCGAAGGCCTAATTTGTGTCACTTGTAACCAAAGTGGTCATAACTGCAATGAGTGGAAGGGGAGGAGGAAGACCCACAGACAATCCCCAACCCTGCAGTTTTGCCCTTCTCTCTAAGACGGGGTGCCTGGAGAGGCCAGGATGGGGCTGCTGCTGTTACTGCTAAGCTGCTGAGTCGGGTACAACTGCATCTCTCAAAAGCTCCTTCTCTGCGTGGGTTTCCCCAGTTTTCGCCCGTTTTACCCACTTCTGTGCTACTTAGTTTAGAAAAAGACGAGATGAGGGGTACCCGAGGCTGCAAAACGCCCCAAATTGGGTTGGAAGCATGTGCGGGGGGTAAGAAGGGACTCAGGGGAGCAGGCGGTGCCTGGGTGTTTTCCCTGTTTTCGGAGCCACCCAATTCACCGCGGCTCCCTCACCTCCAGGTCCCCTGCGCTAGGACAGAGGATGCTGAGGGCCTCCCGCCCCTCCCTCAAGGGCTTCCCCACCCCCATACTGCAGAGCTGTATCATTAGGGTCAAAAATGACCAGAAAATGTCCTCGACTGATTCATATTCCAGGTACTGACTTAGCCCTAAGACCAGATTGTTTTTGTGAAGCGGGTGAATGGGGTTATTGCGGGGGTGGGCGGGGGTTGGGGGGAAGACACAACTTCTGTAAACTTTTATTGTATTTTAGCTTCTTCCCACTTCTCCGAAAACACACGCACATCGCCTGCTCCAATTCCCCCGGTGATACAAAGTCGATTAAAAGTTGGGGGTGGGGGACCCGCGCAGAGGACAGGCGGGTGACCAAAGCCTCAGCGAGCGCGGGAAGGACGGGAGAGAAAGGATGAATTCTTCTGTGGAAAACGGGGACAGGGATGGGAAAGGCTCGACCGAGCCTCTTCGGGAAGGTGTAGGCTTCGGCGATCGCTGGCCATCTTCTCGACGAGTGAGCCCTCCGCGAATGCTTTTTGGGGTAAGGGCTTCCGGCTATTGAGTTATGTACAGCAAGCCCAGACCGCAAAAAGATTCGCGAAGGGCAGAGTCTGCCGGATTCTTCGGTCCGCCGCCGCCGCCGCCTTCTGCCCAGGATGTCTCCGAACCTCGGAGCTGAGCAGGCTGGGTCTCCCCAGCGCGCTCCAACGCGGCTCAGGCTTTCCACCCCGCGCGCCGCCCGCCCTCTCCCGCCCCTCCTCGAGCCCCGGACCCAACCCTGCATTTCTCCACACCGTCCGCGATCCCCCAACTCAGCCCGCTCAGTCTCCAGCGAGGTGTGTGGAGGGCGAGGAGCGCCGAGGGGAACTAGGAATCCCGCCGCCCAGCCTCCACCCCTCTCGCGTAGCCCCAGCACCCCGAGCCTCCCCGCCTATCTGTCCTATATTCCCCATTCCACTATCAGAGCTCCGCCAGCCCTGGCTGCAAGGTCGTGGATCTCTGAACAGGTACAGTTCGGATTCCCCCTAAAACCCCTCTTGTCCTTCCTAGTCCCCCAGCCGAGGTTCCAGCCGTGACTACAGGCGCTGCGTAAAGAGAAAAACTCCCCCAGAGCACTAAATAAATACAGACGAGGCCGCCAGCTCATTGGTGCGGACTAAAATCGTCACCCACCAATCAGGAGAAAGCTCACATTTTCTCTCTCTCTCTCTCTTTTTTTTTTCAGAAGGGGGAGGGAGGAAAAAAATATTTCCATTTCTAATTATTCAACAAAACCCAGACTGGAACACGTTAAAATACTGTTGTTGCAAAAAAAAAAAAAAAAAAAACACTGGCCCGCCACCCTTTTCACCCCGAGGGGGAGAGGGG